GGAAAAACTGAAATTCCCTTCTTGTCTTTGAACTTCTTTTGACCGCACAATAATCATTTCTTTGTCCAGAGTGATGCTTGCATCCCAGAGTCATTAACGCGCATTGAACTGCCACTGATGAGTAAGCCCTACTGAATTAGAAAAACAGCCAGCAAAACAAAGCTGAGAGCATTCTGCACAGTGATATCTCACAATTACATGCCTTCCCTCCCTGTGCCATTTCCATTTTAATTACTCTTAGTCCTTTAGATTTACATTTTAGACATTTTTTAATCTGTTCCTTTTTTATTATAGTGGCGCCCGTTAGCAGGCTCTTGTTAAGGTTTGTGTCAGCATTTCCTATTATAGCCCCCCCCCACCCCCAATTTCATAACTCAGCTGTAAAATTCACACTTGGCTTAAAACTTAGTTTTCCACATTGCAAGGGGAGCGGGCTTGGTGAGGGGTAAGGAAATGTATGGAGCAACATGGGAATGGATGCTTTGGGATCATTGCGACTGCCACACAAAGACAGGGGTGATTCAGGTGCAATAACACAACCAAACTGAGGACACCCGTCTAGATAAGCCCCAAGCTAGGGCTTGGCTGATGTGATGGCGCTGCATTCCTTCAAAGACTTATCCTAGATGACAAATGGTGGAGCTGGCTAGAGCTACCAGAAGCCACAATACAAGTACTTTCTCCTGAAATTATGTAATCTGCCATCATCTAAAAGTCAATTAAGCACAACTTATGACAGCCTCACATAACATAGGCATAAGGCAGGGAATTATACCTGAGCTATCAGTAGCATAGCAATGAAGGCTTTGGAAAAGAAGGTGTGACATGTCTATCTCCACAAAGATGAGAAAAGCACAGGCAATGTTTTTTTTCCTTGTGACACTCTACGAAATTGACAGTTGGACTCTCAAAAAGCAGGACAGAAACAGTACTGATACTCTTGAACTTTATATTGGAGAAGACTTCTGAGAACATCATGGGCAATCAAGAAAACAAAAGAATGGGTTATGAAACAAATAAATGGAAAGTTCTCATTTGAGACACAAACAATTAGGCTCAAATTATCATATTTGGGATGCGTTATGCAAAACCCAGCACTATGGTGAAGCCTATACCAGCAGGAAAGATAGAACGAAAAAGAAAAAGATCAGGAGCAAACTGGCTGGATGAGACTTCAACAAGGATGGATGCATCTTTGGAAAACCTGAAGGGCCAGATCTGTTTATGTGAACACTAAGGTAAACACACAGACTTGATGGGACAATTGATCAACTTCTGGTAGGCCAAAGGTATCATCCCTGTCTTAAATGTTCACAATCTGCTCAGCCTTCTCTAGGGCGAAAAAAAAATCAAGTTCAGATAGAATTCTACAATGATTATAATATATGATGGAATTCACCAAGTCTTTGTTGTAGAAGATGAATAGCAAACATCCATGGATTATGAGACGTTTCATAATTTATTTAGAAGGAATAAATTTAGAAGGAATTTGTATCCCACAAATTTTGCAACGGGGAAAACTATACTACCAATGTTCCATGTTAAAGGTTTTTCCTGTAAATACTTTGTGAGTTAATTTTTGGTCCACTAATCCTGAGAAGAGCGGAAATTGTAATACTTCTACTAAGAATAGTTGTCAGGTGAACTTTCAAGAACCTTCAGCCTTGTAGTATGTGGGAGAAAGAATAGGCTCTGAGGGCATGTATCCCTTGATAGGCACGGTCTGTCCCAAAATAAGGCAGCCCTGCTCCCTTGTCAGTTTCAATGGCCAACAAGTTAGGTGATAGCAAGTAGACGGACAGAGAAAAGAAGGGAGAGAAAAAGAAGGTTTTTGCTCACATACAGCCCGGAACAATAGAAAGCATTCTTGTCTTTGTCTTTCTCCCACACACATAAGGAGCAAAAGATGATTGGTGGGTTAATTTCCTTATGTAATACCAATCAGACTGCAACAGCATACAAAGAATTTCCAAAGAGAATCTCCAATAGAGTAAAACAATAATAAAGCTAGTCCCAAGGTAAAATCTGATGACACCCAGCTGTACATCTCCACCCCGGACCACCCCAACGATGCCCTTGAAGTGATGTCCCGGTGTCTGGAAGCCATGCGGATCTGGATGGGGAGGAACAGGCTCAGGCTCAGGCTCAAGCTCAACCCATCCAAGACCGAGTGGCTGTGGTTTCCGACGTCCCGATATAGTCAGTTGATGCCATCGCTGACTATTGGGGGCAAATCACTAGCCCCCACGGAGAGGACTCGCAACTTGGGTGTCCTCCTGGATTCACGGCTGTCTTTAGAAGAGCACTTGACGGCCGTGACCAGGAGGATTTTTCATCAGGTTCGCCTGATTTGCCAGTTGTGTCTCTTTCTGGATCGGGACTCCCTACACACAGTCACTCATGCCCTTGTCACTTCCCGCCTGGACTACTGTAACGCTCTCTAGATGGGGCTCCCCTTGAGGAGCACCCAGAGGCTCCAACTGGCGCAGAGTGCGGCCGCGCGGGTGGTTATGGGAGCAACATGGTGCTCCCGTGTGACACCTCTCCTGCGTGAGCTGCACTGGCTCCCGGTGGTCTTCCGGGTGTGCTTCAAGGTTTTGGTTACCACCTTTAGAGCGCTCCATGGCTTAGGACCTGGTTATTTACGGGACCGCCTACTACCACAAACAACCTCCCACCGGCCGGTATGCTCTCATAGAGAGGGGCTCCTCCGGGTGCTGTCAGCCAAACAATGTCCAGGGGGAGGGCCTTCTCTGTGGGGGCACCTACTATCTGGAACGAGCTCCCCCCAGAGATATGGAGGATTCCGGATCTGCGCACTTTCCGCCGTGCTCTTAAGACTCTTATTCCAGCAAGCCGGCCTGGCCTAATTTTCTCCCCTGTTTTAAAATTCTTTTAAATCGAAATTTTAATCTGTTTTAAATTATTGGGATTTTAATTGTTTTGGGCTAAATTATTTAATCTGGTTTTAATTATGTTTCTAACTTTTGTATCTATGTATTTTATTTTGTGCCTGTTCACTGCCCTGAGTCCTTCGGGACTAGGGCGGTATATAAATTTAATAATAAAAAAAAAAATCTCATGGCGGATCTCCATCCTCACTAAGCAATAGAATTGTCAAAAGTATACCTAAGAAAATATATTGAAAGAAATTTCCTAAAAACAAGGTGCAAGGAATCCAAGCATACTTCTGGGGCAGCACACTGCTGACCTAAATCAGGCAGTATAGATCTCCCTGGAGCCATAGCTGAGCAGCACATTGTGGCGTTCATGAAGTCCCTCACAGATACAAAATCCAGAAGAAGGCATGGCTCCACATCTGGGCAGAACAAGCCAAAGGATGGCTCCACATTTAATCCCACATGGCCATGAGCGGGACTTATTTTCCACTACCATTTGATCTTCTTTGTTACCTGTGACAGCAATTCAGGGACTACTCTAATAATTATAGATTTTTATATCAATATATAAAAATACTTCAGGGTTATAGCTTTTCCTGATAATAAAATACTCCTAAAGTGGCAACTGTGATTGTTTGAATTTGCCGCCCTATACTAGAAAAGACTCTCTTTCAATAGTTAATACTTCCTTTAACTAATTTTTTCAGCTTCAGCTTGCAGCTATGCAGTGAAAGAGTCTATATCCCAGGACCCTTCTTACCCCATCACTCAAATGTCAAGGACTCGGGCTTCTTTGGCACGAAACCTACATGCAGCTGAATGTGGAGAACAATCCGGGACCCACAGTCAGTTCATAAAGAGAACTAGCTAGACTAATGGGTATGATTGTTTTCCTGCTGAGAAAATATGGTGCCTCCCAGGCTCTTCTCTCTATCTTGTATACACACACACAAAACCCTGCAGATATAACACAAAATAACTGGTAATGGCACATAAACTGTCTTTCAGCAAATTCTGTCCATCATCCTTTATCTTCTCTCCCTGTAGATGCCCTAATGGGCTCCAAGAGAAGTACAGTATCTCCTGGAACTATCTAAAAATCTCTTTTCCAGAGGTAAGTGCAGTTGTTTGGTAAGAGGTAAAACAGGAAAGGATTACAAGCAGAGACATAAAGGTATCTAAGGTTGCAGCAAAACAAGACAATATTCCAAGGCTGAGATAGCTCTGATCATTTTAAACACTTAGCAAGAAGAAAATACGTGAACTTGATTTATATGCTGCTTCTATTTGTTTAGAATATTAAAACAGAGCAGTGATTCCTATCCCTATGGGAAGAGATGCCACCATCTTTGTTTACAGAGTAAGCATGAAACTTAAGTATCCATGATAGGGGTACTCTACCATAATATGGTACTCACTTGGGCAAGGACTAAGTGAGCATTGTGATGGCACAAAGCTCTTTTTATATTTGATATATGTCTGGGGCTGAATTTGTTGATCATGTTTAGATTGTAATTTAGATGAAACTACTGGATTCCATGAACACGTCTAATATCAGAGTTTCTAAAAAGAAGTAGAAAAAAACAATACAAAACATTGTGGTTATTTGTTTTTGGTTTGCTTAAAATGACCCAAACTAATTGGACACATTTTTCTCGGGGTTGCAATGAATGGATCTCTCCAATAGGCTGCACCTGTAGGAATCAAGGTAGCACATGCGTAATTTAGTAAAAGAAGCTAGAATTTATCAGCCAGCTGTTTGGCAGAGAAAGGAAATGTAAATCAAGCTCCAGCCAATTCCTAAACGGCAAATTCTGGCTCTTTTCACCAAATTATATGTGTATGATGTGAGCTGCTGGGCTGGTGAAGTTTATATTACTTTGTTTATCTTAACTACTTTGGGTATGTTAATTAATCATTCAGCCACAAAGATGTACATATGGAAAGTGGGCCATAGTGACAAAATAAGTTACTAACCTTTATATTGAACCAGGCTTTGAGAGGACAAATTTACCAGATAAAGGCATTTTTTTTAAAAATAGCTGCTATACTTTCATTCATTATCTCTAGATTGCAAGTAAAAATGGATTTTAACAATACCTCTTTAGGTTGTTTTCCAGCATGTTGTTGCTGTAGAAGTTGAAGCTGCAACTGTTCCTGCTGTTTCTTATAAAACTCTTGAAGCTGCTGCTACAAAAGAAAATAAAAGGAGACAAGGAAAAAGAAGAAGATAGAGGCTATTAAGTAAAACAAAGTGGGATAGCCAATTCAGGATCCCCTTTTGGTAATACACAAACGGCGATTTGAAAAATAGCATCCTTTTATCTGTAGCGCTCTGACCTTTAGTTTGATACTCGACAATAAATTCAATGCACATTGACTATTCTTGGCATTATCGTTTGAAAAGTAATCTCCAAAATGAACTGATGAAAAACATACCATTTTCTACACAAACTAATTAAAATAAGGCAAGGAATGACCTTTGATTGAAACAACAAAGCCAGAATGCCCTTGCCTGGTGAATCTTTATTTGGAACATATACAAGCATTCTAAATCATTGTTGCATTGTACTGTACCAAGCATCATTTAGAACAGACACAGGGTTCCCTCTCCCATCTACTTTGCTCACTATTCCAGACAGATAGCTCATTTGATGCTTCTGTTCTGCGAATTAATACTTGAGAGAGTAAATGTAAAGCACCGTGTTCAATGTCATCTTGCAATGGTCTCTGGGACTACTGCTCTATAAATGAATGAATGAATGAATGAATGAATGAATGAATGAATGAATGAATGAACATTTCACTGACATACATACCACACAAAGTCATTTGGGGATTTAGTTAATTAACAACATTTTGGAGGAAGAGGATGTTAACCCATTGGCTGTTTCCTAGCCTTCAAAACTCTAGTATGTATTTCTGCTGGGTGGCCAGTATGCACTTCTGTTTTGATTGCTATGATGAGATACCACCCTTGCTATTTTTCACCAGCTACCTTCCAATCGTTTGCGCCACAAATGAAAGAAAAGTGACATTAGCAAGGGTTTAACATAGACTGATTAATACAGTAAAAGGGGACAGGCCACAGTTGCACATATATTTCATCATATTTATACGGCGGGAAATAGATTAGATTTCAGTGCTCTCTTTATTTCCCAAGTCAGCATGAAAGTTTATCTCTATTAAAATGGCTCCATGAGAAAGTTAGACCAAGATATTAAATAAAACTTGTGGCCTAGTAAAGATTTGAATCCAGATCTCCTATTTCTAAATCCAATATGAAACTCCTACACTGCGGAGGCTATAAAGAAAGGCAGCTCTGGCTCAGCTATTTCTGTCGTGTTACACTGCTGCTTGCTATGGTCTAAAACAGAGTTCCCCAACATTTCTAGCTTTGCAGGACAGTGGGGGAGGAGATGGTACGCACAAGCAGCCGGCAAGCGAGTGCACAGCTCCATTTGTGTGAGTGGTGTGCATACACACCTGCCGCTCATGCAAATGGAGCGTGTGAACACTCCACATGCAACCCGCTGCTTGTGCAAATGAGTATGTGCATGCATGCGAATGCTAACTGGCTGTTTCACAGCCCGGTTACAAACCCCTCATGGCCCACTAGTGGGCCGTGCCCCACAAGTTGGGGGACTCCTGGTCTAAAAGACGAAAACAGTGCCTAAACTAGCAAATCGCAGTACGAATTCTTTTAGGCAGATACTGATGAAAACTCATTCTTAGAAACATATAGGAAGCTTGGGATCTCTTTAAGTCAATTCTGAAAGTATTATTGATAACACGGGGAGAAAAGCTTGGGAAGTGTCAACTCTTCAGACCATGAATTTGCCCCATCATTATTCATAGTTGCAACCATGGCAAAACATAAGAAAGAATTATAACTCATGAATGAAGATGAATATATGTGTCCCAGGATTATGTTGCAGGATCCAATCTGGATCGGTCACCAGGACCAGAGGTTTAGTCTTCCTAAAGACTAAAGAGGTTTAGGAAGATAAAGCCTCTGGCTCTAGTGACTGACCCAAACTGGATCCCGCAGAAGTAACAACAACTAACATAAACACAATTATTCATATGTGTATTTCCTATAGTGAATATGAATGAATGGCACTTTGTTCAACGTGACACTCTATACAGATATCTTTGGGACTATTGTCATTACTAGAATTCCTAGCTGGCGCAGAATTCTGGGAATTTGCAATTTCATCATATCTCATGGATGCCAGGACATAAACATGTAGTAATCACTTATTTCAGAAAGATGCTTGACATAGGAAACGGCATTACTACAATAGCCTTCCTTTTCCAATAGCTTGTGTTGGTTAGCTCAGCCGCTGCTAAAGAAAGCAGTTACCTGTTGAAGCATGAGTGCCTGCTGCTGTTGGAGCAGGACCTGAAGTTGCTGTGGAGTTAGCACTTGCTGCTGGAGGATCTGCTGCATTTGCTGGGGAGTGATAACTTGAGGTGTCATCATAGCCACCGACACTGGAACCTAAAATATGGAGACAGTATAAAGAACAAGCAGTTCAACAAACCTTCTGTCAAGGGGGAGTTGTTTTGTTACTTTTCATTTTACATTTCTCTTTCTACTCTACGCCGTTAAAATAATTGTTTTAGTGAACTTGAGCTGCAATCTGGAAAGGTGTTTTTTTTTTTTTTTTTGAGTAGGTAAATACAATACTTGTATTGTATTGTTAGGTCACCCCAAATGTTTTTCCTCTAGCTTTGATTTTAAAAGATGAGCAAAGAAATAATAATAAAAAAACACAATCGCATCTGATTTAGTTCGGGGAAACACTATGCGCAAGCCAAATAAGTTTGTTTTCTACCCATTCCACTGAAATAGATTTTATGTTCTGAGAAAATCAAGCTATTAATCTGCGCATCTTCTAGAGGTGCCTATCAATTTTGACAAATGTTACATTAATTAACAAGTAAGACCCTTCAGAAGCGGCCATTGGGGAGTTTCAACTTAATGACTTGAAGCAAATTAATGCAATTTCAGCGATACAGAAAACACACCTTGCTCCCCAGCAATTTTAACAGTGGAATTCCTACGATGATGTCTCAACCGTTCCGCATTCACCTAGCATACAGATGGCTTCAATTCTTTCGTATTATGTGAGATACCATTAAAAGCCGCTTTCCATGACATTTCAGTGACAAACAGCTACAGTGATGAACTTGATAGCATTTCATATTTGCAACTGTTAACACGTTTCTGCACGGGCATCTTTGCAACGAACCTGTACACTCTATCTGAAAGGATGATGTCTTGTTCAGATAAAACACTGACATTAAAATGACAGGCTGTCTCGGCCAAGGTTACACAAATTGTATTCAAGCGGATACCTAATGACAATGCTTTGAATTCTGCAAGCTTTCTAGAATGTAATTTAGCTATTCAAAATAATCACTGCACTTGTGTTTAATTTGCAGACTACATGAGAACCATTTTGTCAGTTCCGGTAATGCAACAAGACTATTTTGCAAGAAACCCCACCAGAAAAAGAGAGACAGGGAAGAAAAAAAAGAAAAAAAAAAGAAAGGAAAGGATGAAAGGGGTGGGGGCACAGTTACAATTGAGGGGGGGCGCAAAACTCACATGACTGAATAAGTAATATTTAAGCACAATACTTTCCTTTAGTTTCAGCTCAAATAGGTGACAGCAAAAAACTAAAAGCAGTAAAAGGATATACTTAGTTAAAAAGAATCTGCTGTCATCTCATATACTGCAATGAAAGGTAATAACATGTTTTGAACATTTTTATGCAGCACATGTTAAAAAATCAGCAGACAATAGCTGCTCGGGAGATAAAAAGGTTTAAAAAAATATTTCAGGGGAGTAGTAAGCAAGAAAGAAATGCAGTGTTAATTTTATGTAACATAATGTCTTAATGTGCAGTTTTTCTTGCTTTTTTTCACATGATTTGTCCTACCGTTTGCATAGCAAATTCCCATTCCTAATTTCACAGTCATTATGCACTGATGTACCGATTTCTCAGCACCGCTAATTTTGAAGAACTAAAACAAAAAAAAAAAAAAGGTTTCTGAAGGTCAGATTTATGTACAGCAAATACCGTGCGGTGTGTGTATGTTTACCTATTTTAGAAGCAATGCTTACTGCATCTGTTTTGATACTATTATACCCTTTGACCCCTCATTAACATAATACAAGACATTAGCCCAGCAAGTGTCAGCAATATTGTTATGTCAGTTAGGGATACCAGGATATGCGTTGCAATGTAAAGTAACCTGAAGCGCCTAAATCACCTATGGATTGTATGAAAACAAATGTGTCTCAAAGCCATCCCATTTGAATTTTAGGTTTTATACATATCGGAATTATTTTAGGTTATGCACACTTCCATACTGACAATTATTTGTGGCATGCTTGCAATTGAGTTTTACTGTTCTGTAGAATTACAGCACAATTTACTAAACAAATTTTAGGAAACAGATACTAAAATTCCACAGATATTAATGGTAACAAGAACCAAATTCAAACTAGAGCACTGAAATATAGGTATAGAATGGTTAAGTATCAGTGACAAGCGCTGAGATATAGAGACTATTAATTCCTTAAATCATTGTTTTATTGATTTCCATTCAAGTAACAAGGGGAAGACATATATAGAGACTGACTGACAATAATGAAACAAAGAAAAGAACAAGAGCATAAATAAACAAGCAGAAGAAATAGATTAGATGCTGATTTGACACATTTACTGGGTTGGCAGAAGCAAGGGTTTTTTTCACTCTCCTGCAAACGCTAGACTTTTGAACGTATCACAAATGCTGCATAAAATTTATGCAGTGTTGTGGGACAAGCCCAATAAAAATTAGTCCAGTTACACGCAAATCTGGATCCAAACTAATAATGTTAATTCTAACATCAGACGGGGTAGGTTCGGTTAACCAGTTATTGATTTAAATACTTAAAAAAAACTAACTAATAAAAAGACAAAGATCACATGATTATGCTTTTGATTTTGTACACTTCTGTTAAAAATATTTGACTGAATCTGCCTGTACTTCATAGCCGTCCTTCAATATTTTCACTAGTTTAGAATTAAAATATTGTGCACCATTTCTTAACTTCATCATTTTCTTCTATAAATTTTTTTTATAATTATATTTTCTTAATGATGGATCCGGATATACGAAAGCAAACATTTTTGGATTTTATTTTATTTTTTTTAAAAATGTTACTCCTGATTGATATACGAATCAATTTTATTTGATCAGAATTAGGATGGAAGTATACATAATGGCTTTTTTTTTTTTTTTTTTTGATCTTCTACCCAACATTCATTTAATGCAACTCTGGGTATGAGATGAAGAACAATAAGAAGAGACTTGTCATAAATTGAGGAAATGAATGTTTCTTTTCCTACAGATTATCTACTCCACAATGCTATCACAAGTTTTTGAAACTCAAAAGGAAAAGCATTTAGTGTCCTACAAGAAGAAAGAAGTTCTACTACTCTACTCTTTCCATTTCAGACAATCACAACTATTATTTATTTTTGCTTTAGATGCTAACAAGATTCTAGATCTCCAAAAAGAGTTTCATATAATTTGCAGATCTCCTTCCTCTGAGATTCTGACAATGAATAGGTAGTGAACTGGAGCCATATTTATAGTTGTTAACAGTTATTGCAAGCTTAGTCATAAGGATTATGACTAAAAAGACCTGAGAAAATGAACAACGAAACGAAATGTTCTTGACTCTCCCTTGGCTTACTGGTGGGAATAATAATAATAATAATAATAATAATAATAATAATAATAATAATAATAATAATAGTAACAGTAGTAGTAGTAGTAGTAGTAGTAGTAGTAGTAGTAGTAGTAGTTTCCTGGGGCCAGCAACAGGTGTTAGCAGCTCTTGAACTGCTCTTATTCCTCTGGATTGGTCCTAAGGAGAAAGGACAATGGAAGCAGGACTACGGAATGGTTCCACAAAATGTTGGAAGGAAAACTCTGGCTGTTGTCCAAGGGGAAAGTGCCATTTGCTTCAACTTCAGCAACTCCTGTCTGCCTCACTATTCCTGCTTCTGCTCTTGCCCACTTCAAGCGTAAAGTGGTGAAAGGAACTTTATCCCACACTCCGCTTCCGAAATACAAGGCGATTACCTAGACTAAGTTTTAAATAAATACGTTTGGATATCTAATTTCTTAATTTCCAAATGTCCTACTTATTCATGTCACTAGTCCCTAACGCTACTAGGATTCAAAGAGACTGTGATAGCAGCAATGGGCTATTACAGTTCACACTTTATTACCCACAACTACTAAGGTCATTAAAACAAGAGTGATTGTACTAATCTTAAATTATTGATCGTGGTTAAGTACTGTTATTTAATTCTATGCAAAATATCTGGGAAGCTGCTAAAGGCACACAACAAAGACTGCTGAAAATTATAGCCAGGGCATAGAAATTTCACTGAGAGTCATAAAAACTAGCTAGTGGCTCAAATCAATAGTATTTAAAGCAGTCATGTAATTTCTAAACTACGGGTTCTAATATTTATGGCTCCTGGTTTGAATATATCACATCAAAACAGTACTTGTTTTACATACATTACACTTATATCTGAGTGAAATAAGAAATCTCTATTTAATCTTGTTCTTTAGCATGTTAAGACTTTAATCCTGGATGGCTAAAATTTGAGATTCCTTTTGCAAATAATATTTAAAAACCCTTTCTTTAAATCTCATCTAATTTTATAAAGAAAAGAGACCTCACACTGGTAACTATCCAAACACATCAATCAACAAACATTTATTGATAGAACATGTCTTCACGACTCTGAAATAAACTAATTACAAGGTATGCTAATAAAATACATGTTATGAATGACAATAAAATGCATGAAACATGATCAGCGTAATCATAAGAGGCTCCTTCACAGTAAAACAAATGAAGGTTATAGATTACGCTTATTGATTTCAAAAATGTGTAAATCTATAAGGAGGTAAGATACAGACAAATGGAAGTTCAGATTGCAATCCACCAAACGTTTCCTTAGAAATAAGTTTCATTTAACACAGCAGGACTATAATTCCCAACATCATATATAATATTATTCATCCAGTCTGCTCTGTGAAACAGCCATCACTTCAGTGTTCTGTTTTAATTTTAAGGAGACAGCTGTGTGATTTATTTAATCACTTTCCAATATTCACTTCTATCTTTAACCCTGGGTCTCTGAGCTCAAACAGCATCAAGGACCCAAAGTTAATAACTTTCACCCAGTCCTCTTTTCATTGACAAACAGTGTGGTAGGCAACTAACATTGACAGAGACAATAAAGGCAAAATACAGTTGTGTCCCTAACACTAGAAGAGATTGGCTTCTGACATTTCTTCTGTCAGGAATGGAAAATATGCCTTTAAATGAATTCAATTGATCCTAGGTTCATTTCATTGGCCTACACATTATTATAACTTTATATTCAGTTCTAAACTCACTTTAAGGATAAAATA